GCATTCCTGTGAGACTAGTAACAAATGTGGGCTACGAGTAAGGAATCAAGTTGAAAGAGATGAGCGTGTAACGGCAACGGTAAGACATTCAACTGTGCCGAATAATTTAAAGATGCAATATTTCAATATGCAATGAAATTTGATATCAGGATGTAAAGATGGGAAAACAACAAATATGCCGAGTCTGTGGTAAGGAGACACGTCCTTTGCGAGTTTATTGTTCCATAGATGTCCCTATGAGAAAATGGATGACAAAGAAATACAAACCGGATCACAACCATACCAAAGACAAACATACTAGAATGTTGTCAATGAGACACATTGGAGCAATGTTCACAGAAGTTCTTAGAAGACAACCGTCTTACCCTGCAGCTCAAATGCAATACGATATGAAGGTGGAATTTAAAATGGAAGTTTCATTATCTAAGTGATTTTAAAGCTAGGCAAATAGGGTTTGGGTGTTGTAATGGAAGATCAAAAAGTGAAGTTTGCTAAGTTGTGGGACTACTAGGCGGAGCCAGAAATAGACTTCAAGGAGCTGGAATCTGCGTTTTGATGAGACGATAAAATAGTTTGGCTTCTCTTAAAGTGAAGATGAGCCATGTGTTTACAAGAAGACCCGTGATACTGCAAAAGCAAATGCTAATGATTCTATATCTCTGTACCTTGGTGGAAGCTTTATATCTCTCTTGGCTCTATGTCGGGCAAGCACATAATTGATCATCGATGAACCAAACTGTGACATCCTGAGATAGGACGAGGGTGGAGAGTGATCGGCGGTGCAAGTGGTATGGACAAGGAGTGGCTCCCCGAAAACCACTAGACCAGAGGGGTACGAGGATGAATCAAACGCATTGGAGTGAGAGAGATCCGAATGTTGTGTAAGTATGAAACTACACAGTCAACGATAACTTAAAAGAATTGATTAAACTATTTATACCAACAAGATGTATCTACCTTTTCGGTTGTCTATCACGAGAAAACTCCAAAGTTAAATGTGTTTGCTCTGGAACAATGTAAGGATGGGTGAGCTATTGGAAAACGTTGGTATGCGTGCGAGTGGCGGATACAAAATACGTTTAAAGGTCTCGTGTTGGCCGGTGGAGGCAGTTTCAATGTTCCTTATCGGTCTCGGGCATTACACGAACCATGGTAGTCTCATCTTCTTCATCAATGTTCGGGAGTCATTATCATCTCCATTTCCTTGAAGTAATCCTCCATGCCCTTGCTAAATAACGTGTACCAAAGAAAAAAAGGCTTTCCATATCTATTGCGCATTGCCTAATCATAAAAAGTATCTTTCCTCTATTTATGCCCTTTTATCATCCCTTGCACTACTTAGAATTTTAATTAAAATTTTATTTGATGAAATTCCACGTTTAATTGCATCCAAAATATTCGTTAGGCGAATACTTTTTCGAATTGAATAAGATATAATCGTAAGCGAACCTAATTCGGCATAAAAATTGAACAGTTATTACTTCTCTAAATCTGAAAAAGTCGAATCCAAAACAAATCGAACTGAATACCCTCCCTAAAAATTGACATTTTGTTTGAGAAAATGAGTTTTTACCAATAAAAAATTAAATCTGAACCAAAGCCCGATCCGACTTCGTCCTAAGCTTTTTGCCAGCCATGCCATCGAAGCAATACAAATAGCGATCCAAATGCTGTACACGATAACACAACACATAAATAAACAGAACACTAGCTTAAGACGAAAAGAAATTCCATGTAGAATACTTACCTAAAGGAAATGAAGATGCTCATGACTTGCACCAACATTGATGAAGAAGACGAGGCATTACATCGAAATAAGTTGGGATTGAGTCAGAACAAGTTTTGATTGCGTTGAAACATGTTTGGATTGATGATATACAGAAAAAGACATTTCGTACATGTTACTGGCATTTCGAGTTTGTGGTAAAACTTTTCTGGACTCATGAATGCTTCAGGCGTTTTTAGAATTGATTTGTTAGGATTTGCGAAGTGATTTAGGGTCTTAAAGACTCATAATCCAATCCCTGGAATCCATCGAGCGCACATAGGTCGATGCATCGACATCGTCCACCCCCAAAGTCGATGTCCTAGCCATCAGTCAATTTTCAGAGAACGATCATACATATCGACCATGGGAACTCTATATTTTTTGAGGGATATTGTGATAGTGATTGAATCGAAAATAAAGAAGACATGAAAAGCACAAGTGGTTATGTACTCAAGATAGGAGGAGCAATATTAAGCTTGTTGTAAATAGCGGTGAACCTGTGTCTCAACTTGAGTGTGCTAGTGTTCTTGGATGTTTAATGATGTTATGACGAGTACTAGATCTGACATAACATATGTTGTAGAAAAGTTGAGTAGATACATTCTTCCACATTCAAAAATTGGATTTCCACATTCACATTCTTGTGGTAACACTTTCCTCTAGATTACTCGGTTTTTTCTTGCTTGATATATTGTAGTAGATCGTGAGCTACTTTTTCTTCCCTGAGATACAGTTGTCATATTTCACTTAAAAGATCAAACAAAATAAGAAAAACAAAGGAAAATTTGCATATAAATACATATTTTTTTACAAAATTTCCAAATAAATAACTAAGGTATAAAACTTAGGTCCCGTCGAAAGTGACTCGACAAGCTCCCTCAGGTCTCGTCAGAATGACTCGACAAGCTCCCTCTGATGTATCAAAGTTAGAGACTAATGAGACTACTATGCTTGAGCCTGACTTGCGGCTAGATGAGCTAATGGTTGCTCCCTTGGTAGTCAATCCTATGGTTACACATAATGTTGCTACGGAGAATGCTATTGCTGATGATGGATTGATATCTAATGTTATTTCCCCCCATTGTTTCCTCCCAGATACATCCCTCTTCTTTCCCCCCTTCTCCCCCCTAAATCACCAAATTTTTCCTCTTTTCCCCCTCCTTCACACCTTAAATCACCAATCTCCCCTACCAAATCCCCCGAACCATATATCCCTATCTCTTCGTCTCACCTAGCCATATCCCTATCTATATTACCCCCTCCCCCCCTTTACCTTTGACAAATCATTTGGTTAAGGACCCTAACCCACAATCTCTTTAATCATATCCATCCTTTTTTGGAATGTGAGGGGGTTCATTGCCCCTCCCAAACATAGAGCCCTTAAATCTCTTCTAAACCTTTATAACCTCTCTTTTTGTGCCCTTCTTGAGACTCACATCTTAGCCCCAATTCAACCCTTGATATTACCCAACCTTGGTCTCGATTGGATCTCTTACACCAATTATTCCAGTAATCCAAGTGGTCGTATTTGGCTGATTTGGAAATCCCCAGCAGTTGTACATATCCTTGAGGAATCGGACCAACACATAACTGCCACCCTTAAGTTGTCGGGGTGCCCTGAGGTTCTATGCTCAGCAGTATATGTCCATAATGATCGAGGGAAC